ATAAGGAGAAATAATTTAAATAAATATTAAATAAAAATGATTTGATTTAGTTAAATACTGCAGAAAAATGGTCACAAAAGATATCAGTGTTCACAAAATGCTAAATAATCTCAATGACAAAATAGTGTTAAAATCATTCGTCTTATTTATTCATCTTAATGTTATATATGAAATTGGACAAAATTATATAGTATTTATTATAAATGCACATAACTATATATAAATATATACTTTAGTTTTCAGAAAACCTCAAACATTGTTTTAGGATCCATTCATATATGAACACCTGACTTATTATTAGTCATTCTTAGCTAACATCAAGGTCATGAATTTTGATTATGATATATATATGAAAGAATATCTCTTGATTCACTGCTTATGCTTTCTCATTTACATTTAATCGTATGCTATTTTGTGACATTTCTTTTACACTTTTCATTTCTAGCAAGCTTTTCTATCAACTTGAAAGTTGTTTGTTTAATTTTTCTTGAGTTCAAACAATAATTTTAATAGTCCTTTACCTACTTCATAACACCTGCATAGGGGAAAATCTAGAATTATTAACTTTTCTTTTATATTTGAAAATTTGCAATTATTTCATTAAAATTGCTCCTTGTTAATTTTACTGTGCTGTAGACAGAATCTAGTTTTAGATGAATCTCAAATTATACCTGGGTTTTCTAATGTAGAGAGAACCCGACTGTGGTTATTGGCTTGGGTCATTTTGCATGAAACAAACCAAGAGAATATCTTGATGCAAATGTAAACAGGAATTGCCTGTGTTTTATTGGCACCATCACTGCTTGATAGTGAGAAAACTGCTATGCAACTGGGGAGGCTGTTGCCAATCAGACCCGAAGTTTCCTTTTGCTGCACGTGATGAGAAATATAGAAAGCCAGAAGGAAGCAATTAACTGCTTATCTGAAAAATTAGAGTTCATTATCAACATTAGTAGGACTGGTTATTTTATTTATATGTAATATGGCTGCAAATGACTTTAAATTGTCAACATTGTTGATTTGCTCTGGTGCAAGGCATAAACAATGGAAACTGTCACATGCTTATTGTCAGATTGGAGAACAGCCATACAGGAAATGGAATCAATGGAAGGGGTATGTTTGGCTCCTGATTTTACTGGCCCTGGGCTCTTAGCTTAACAGGCACCATCTTTCCACTTAAAATGGAGTTCAGTTAGCAATGACAGTCAGCTAGCATGCAGTGAGAGTACATTTGGTCATTATATACTTTCCATTTACAAATTAAATAGTCAAGATACTCTTCAATTTTTTTATGAGAAAGATGAACCAAAAAATTAACTCTGGTAAGTCATTGTATATGTAGTTAAACCGTGTCTATGTGGTATGTATAGAAAAAAAACCCTCTAGATCCATAACAATGTGATTAGCTAAATAATAATTATAAAAAATAAATTATAATTATTATATTTTTACATATTTTAATAAAACTGAAGGAAACAAATTCAAATCAATAAGCATTTGTTTTTGTGAGTGTTGTGGGGTGTACATACAAAAATTAGTTCCTTGTTAAAATTTAGAAAACTAGTTCCTCCCTCAAGAAGTAATAAAAAAAGTTAAAAAATAACAGAAAATTTTGTTAGGAATAAAATTTTTTTTAAAAGATGCCACAATGGCATATGATTAATTGTGAAATGAGTGCTATAAACAATGAGCCAGAGGAAATATTATTTTATGTGTATTTCATAACCAAAACTCACATCATTATCTTTAATATGTTAGCTAAGAATGATTATTAATATCGAGGTCTGATATTCACATATGAATTGGTATCACTACTAATGTCATGTGAAATGAATTGAATATGAAATGTAAATGCTTAAAGGTTTCAGAAAACAATTGAATCCATCAATTGGCTAAATTTTATTTATATATAATTTATTCAACATTTTTTTTTCTTTCTAGATGGAATATACATGAATTTCAGTTTATTCTCTATCCAGTTACCATACATTTGGAATTAAAAGAGCTTATATTCTAAAAAGTTTTACAAGTCTTTAAGAGTTTGAGTAAATGTGTACACATATTTTTCTTTCTCCATACATCTAAAATTAAAATGTGTTTCCTTCCAAGGAACCTGCAGATTTATAAAAAAAGGACAGCCGGGCTAGTGAAATTAAAATTCGTATCTCTCAAAGGGAACAACGCACTTATAAAGAATGGCCGGGCTAGTTATTGTGAATAGTACTCAAGATCCAAGCAGTGATTTAGTGTCATGCAGTTGCTCTTTTTCCCTCTGGTTTTATGAAATGAATTATTGAGTAGCAACTTTGTTTATGTCATTAAGATTAAATCTCTGTCAAAATTGTCCTAGAGGAATTCTAAAAGGTCTGGGAAAATGGCTTTGGTATTAACAACGTTCCCAGTTTTTCACATTAAAAAATGTTACTTTTTCTGACATCCTAATTTGTGTATTTATGTGTGGGGTGTGTGTGTGTGTATAAAAATAACTGAGAGTGGGTAGATATTCCATTAGAGACGTCTCATTTCTTTTTCCTATATACAGTATAAAAACTTTGGAGTGTGTGAGGGTGAACGGGTATGATTTGTTAGAGTTGAATACATTTATAGATGGCATATTTTTCTATTACAGGAAATTCAAACACAAATGCAAAACTTTAAAATACTAAGAAGACAGCAATATTATATTTGTCTAAAGTGCAATAGGTATCAGAATGAGAGAAATGATGACTTGGGATGTTACCCTTCTAATTTTAGTTTCCAAAATCTGTTTTAACTAATTGTTTAATGACTGTTAAATGCTGAATGTGATCATGCCAGAGAGACAACTATTGATCATGGGTGCCCTATGCCTACACACTATGACCAAAGTCTTGCCTTAATATACTGCTAGTGAAAAATTCATTTTCGGCCGAATTCAGATTTGTTGTTGTTGTTATGTAATTCTTCAGCTTAAGAAGAGAAAGAGAATTTTTTAAAATACCTTTCTGAATTTCTACTTGAGAGATCTTTATATTATAGGAAAAACCTCTGGATCTTAATATTCTTACAGTTCAAGGCCATAACAATGCCACATTCTGCTTGGTCAACCACCTCAGTAATAGTACCCGACCTTATGGAGAACAACCTTGTCTCAAACTGTGTAATTATTTAACAAGCATCACAGTTTTTTTTAGTGATCTCACTTTATTCTTAGAATGCATTCTAAGAAAGTGCAAGGTAAAAGAAGTTTATGGTAATTCGGCACATTAAACGATAATAGGGAGCAGGATCGAGTCCTTGAACTCTTACTGGCACAAACTCACATTGGCTCAATTTTCCATACTTCATTAATTGACTACTATTCTCCTTAAATAGATTGTTTTGAAAAAGATGTTAACCCATATATTAGTTAGTGTTCTGTGGTACTACAGTTTCCTTTTGTGTATCTCATTTGTAATAATCCTTTATGCAATTGTCAAATTTAATGTGTATAAGAAGTGCTTGAGAGGATTATTGAAAACCAAATGGAGCCCCTCAGTATAGGTATATTTGTATTGTGTAAGTGCTGTGGGAGCTTTCTACCTGAAAAGACTGTATTTGGAGTGGTATTTGGTAGTCATCTACAATTCAATACGTAAATTATTAGACAATTCGAGGGTTTATAATAGCAGTACTAATAGAAGTCATAGCAATAATTATCAAGACATATTTATATCTCCATTCATAGTTTTATAGAAATATTTATATGCTTTATTTCACAGACATGACTAATTTCATGATAACTTATTCAGTGTTTATTGATAACTCAGGTGCTCAGGGGAGGAGAATCAAAAGACGTGTGAGACTCACTGAAAACTACCCTGAAGTTAATTTCTACTCTTAGTTCTGAAGATACTTGCCTAATTTAGTTTTTTTATTCATATTTTTATTCTCCAAGATTAAGAGGAAAAATTTCCCCCTGAATCTCTTGAGAGATTGTATGGTCGAGGAATCAGACTGCACAATATTGAGAATTATATTTATATGAAACAAAGGAAGCAAATAGATTATCCTTTGAGGTCAAAATAAGAGTAGCAAGGGGTGCCTGGGTGGCTCAGTCTGTTCAGCATTCTTGGTATCAGTTCAGGTCATGATCTTGGGGTCGTGGGGATCAACCCTGAATTGGATGCGGACGCTGAGTGCAGAATCTGCTTAGGATTCTCTCTTTCCCTCTGCCCCTCCCCTGGCTCATGCTCTCTGCAACACCCCTCCCCTCTCACCCCCCTCCCCGCTCTCTCCCTAAAATTAAATAAATAAATCTTTATAAAGAAATAAGAGTGACAAATTAAAGTTTCAACACAAATCCTAATTATTTCCTTGAAAGGCACAATGTTCAATGAAAAAGCCATTGTGACAAATAAGAACCTACAACAGGATTTTCAGAGTTAAAAAAATATAACAATAAGACGAACATATCCTAGTGGCTTCTCTGTGGAGAAGGGGATAATTCCTCATAATATCAACATCCCCATTTAGACTTTAATTACTTTGTACGTCCAGCTATGTGCCCTGGTCTGATAAAGGTGAGAGGGAAGTTTCAGTAGTTTTTTCTTTGTTGTGATTTCATATACTAAACTAATTGTTTTTACTGTGCTTCTTTTTTCTTGTTTGACAAAAAAAAAATTGAGGTTGAAGTGTTTGAAATGGTATGTATAGGAGCATAGTATCTTGGTTCAAATAAGAAATTACAAGTTCAGAAGCACCTGGGTGGCTCAGTTGGTTAGGTGTCTGCTCTCAGCTCAAGTCATGATCCCAGGGTCCTGAGATCAAGCCCAGAATTGGGCTCCCTGCTCAGTGAGGAGTTTGCTTCTCCCTCTGCCTCTCTCCCTGGCTTGTGCTCTCTCTCTTGCTCACTCTCTCTCTCAAATAAATAAATAATTAAAATCTTAAAAAAAAAGAATACAAGTTCATAATCTTACTACATAATTCTTACTTTCGGGTAATACAATAATACTGAGATCCAACGTCTGTTCTGTTTCTAGGTCCTTGAAGACTCTCTGGAGTTGAAGGCGCCTGGGTGGCTCAGTCAGTTAAGCGTCTGCCTTCGTCTCAGGTCATGGTCCCAGGGTCCTGGGATCGAGCCCCACATCTCAGTGGGAAGCCTGCTTCTCCCTCTCCCACTCCTTCTGCTAGTGTTCCCTCTCACGCTGTGTCTCTCTCTCTATCAAATAAATAAAATGTTAAAAAAAAAAAAGACTGTCTGGAGTAAATATAATTTTGGGGTTACTTTTTGTTCATAGTATGGGGAAAAAAGAGAATAAATTCACCCTTATCAGGTCAGGTATAGCCAAGCAGGAGATTACAATTTTAATACAAAATTTCTGTTTTTACAGTTATCATACATTAAATAATTACGGTTTGGGACACAGTTGTTTTCTTTTTTTTTTTTTTACACGGTTGTTTTCAATACTGAAACCTCCTTAGAACCCTGTACTGCTTAGAGCTTGCTTTGAAGTTAAGAGAAAACTCCGTATACAGGTAAGATGCTTGAAAAAAAATACTGCAAAAATGTTGAATCAGAATAAAACCAGCAGAAAGAGGTAAAGTAATAATAGGGAATATTCATTTTGTTTTGAAAGGTGCTAAGACAGTCATGTCAGGACAACTAATATGCAGCTGGTTTTGTATTCATGCTGTTCAATTACATGCGGGATCATGAGAAATTCCCAGTGGCTCTGCCACATTTCTCTCCTATTATAGTTCTTATTTTAGAACTTTGATTTTGCTTTAAAAAATGCATGAAATGCCTACCTCAGGGCAAACTCTCTCACCCCATGTGTCTTCTATTGAAATAGCTGCAATTTACAGCTTCTATAGATAAAGAGGTCAATTTGTTTTATGTAATGAGATATCATTCAGGAAATACCCTTGCTTTTTAGATTCAGGACTTGAGGTTTCAAATATTTGCTTTTTACCTAAGAAGGCCCTATGGATTTCACGACCAACTATTCCTGGAGCCATGAGTGCTGCTGGCCCCCTGCTCACCATTTCTCCCACTTGCTTTTCCCATCTTCCTCCTGAATTGTCAGTGCTCCTGCTCACCACTCTCAACTCCCAAGTGGGTTGGGCAGCATGCCTTCCTTGTGAACGTGAGATTCACACACTTTATAGAGCGATGCTAAAGTTAGGTTAGCACCTATATTAGGCTTTCTTCTTTACGTAATCAGAAGAATTAAAATTCAGAAAAGAAAACTTTGGAGAGAAAAACAAAACATGGACAGTGGCACTTGTCTGAAACGTTCCACGTCTGTAATAAATATTTGCAGTTTTGTTCCCTCTTTTCAGGTATCTCCTGTCCCTGGGGTAAATATTCTATAGGAATGTTTTGTTTGAATAAGCCGGGAGAATTATTTATTTACTTAGTCTCATTTCACAAAAACTTTAAGAGGCTTACAAGAAACTAGTACAACAAATGTGAAGACCTGCAGGTAGAATTTAGGACATACTAGCTGTTCTCAGATGAAATTCTAGACCTCTCTGGGTCTGTCTTTTTGTTTAATGTTAATATTTTGGTGACTACTAAAAAACTAGTAACTCCTAAACAATTAATGACTGGATTAGTTTGTGTACAGCGATCAAATCATTTCTCTAAATGTTATAAATTCCTATAGCTAATTGAAAAATCTAAGTAGCTCGTCTATTGTTGCCCACTGAGGGTGGGACCTACCTCACCACCCAAAATTTGGTCTAGATGTGGAGGCTGTTGGTACCACACAAACACTATGACTGTTGGTAGCACACATTATACTATACACACAAACACTATAATAAAGACATGTATTAGTTACACAAAGAGGATTTGGGGGGAAAGCAGGGCATGTTCTGAAAGTGGTCTGAAAATGACTTGAGGGAAGGTAGAGGCAAATGGCTTTGGTTTTTTTGGGGTGAGAGGCTAGGTGAGGTGAGGATTGTGATGGGAGTGGGCGGGAGGTAGGGACTTTGCTGGAACTTTTCACTGGCTCTAGGGAAGGAATGCACAGGGCTTTCTTGTTGGTTGCCCCAGATGTGGGGCAAGAAGGAAAGAGAAAAATATGGAGCCTAAAAGCTGTCAGTGGTTAAACTCCAAAACTGGGGTCAAGCTCTTGATTACAACAGCAGTGAAAACTACCTTTTTAAACCAGACCCTTATAATGTCCCCTCATCTCCACCTGCACTGACATCTATCTTTCACCTTCCTTCCTTCCTTCTGTCCTTCCTTCCTTCCTTCCTTCCCTCCGTCCTTCCTTCCTTCCCTCCGTCCTTCCTTCCTTTTCATGGAACTGGTCACAGTCTGATGTATGAGTGTGTCTTTATTTGTCTTTTCCAGCTTCAGTTGTAGCTCCTGAGACAATGCAGGAGACATAATAGGCACACAATATATTTTTTTAAATGTCCATCAGCTTTACTAGGCTATATGATCCATGAAAGCAAGATTGTGCCTGTTTCTATCATGTTGATTCCAGCGATTCAGAGAAACGCTTCCTGCCTCAGCAAATAGTGGTGGAAAGAATTCACTCTTTTAGGTATTTTGCAAGGTTCTCATCATATATTTTACTTTCAACAAAGAAACTAAATCTATTTTTAAAATAAAATTTTGACTTATTTAAGTCCTGAAATAGAGTAAAAACAAATTTATTGAATCTTGTTGATTTGTTTTAAAGTTTGAGTCGAGCAGCAACTTTACCAAAGAACTAAGAATTGGGAATTCACTTCTGATGACAAAAAAAAAAAAAAGCCAAAATTCTAAGCAATTTAGGAGTTATATAGATATGGTTATTCTCCTGTTCACAGATAGCAACAAAAAATGTCTTAATTACTGGAACACTAAGTGAATTTTCAATTTAAAATCAGAATAAACCTAACCAAAGAGTTGTAAAGGATCTATACTCTAGGAACAGAACACTCATGAAAGAAATTGAAGAAGACACAAAAAGATGGAAAAATATTCCATGCTCATGGATCGGAAGAATAAACATTGTTAAAATGTCTATGCT